ATGAAGCACTACTTGACCACGAACAGCACAAAAGGCACAGAAGGATTGTTGGCAAACTTCAATGGTTAGCATACACACGACCAGACATTGCGTACTCCGCAAAAGAACTAGCCCGAGACCTCACAGCACCTACAGAACTTTCACAAAAGAGAGTCAAACATCTACTACGCTACTTGCACGGCACCAAGCGCTACAAATTCACCATAGAACCAACAACAACACTCAGAGCAAACACCAACAACATCCTGGATCTCGACGTTCATGTCGATGCCGGCTGGGCAGGATGCCCTACTACCAGGAAATCAACTTCAGGTTTCAACATCATCTTTTTAGGAACAATAGCACTCAGCTCAGCAGAGTCTGAACTCTACGCCATTTGCGCAGGAGTTAATGAGGGACTACACCTCAGAAACTTCCTACTTGAAACCAACATTTGCAGCAAGCTAAACCTACGCATCCACACAGACTCCACAGCAGGCAAGAGCATTGCTACACGACAAGGCACTAGCAAACGAGCAAAACACATCGACCTTAAATTTCTCTACACACAAGACCTCATCAAGCATGACATCATCAGAATCCTTAAGATCAACACACTCCACAACAGCGCAGATTTGTTTACCAAATACATCAGCAAAGAAACACTACACAGGCTCATCCAGAGCATTGGAATACGCATTTAGCACTACCAACGACCAGCGCAGCAGTTTCACAACAACAACAACGACTTTGGACATTTCATGTATGTAAGTAGCTACATGTAACACGACACTTTTGGTATGTAAGTAACAGTAACTACATGTATTTGCACTTGCACTTTTGGCGGCTGAGTCAACACTACAGTTGTTTGTTTTACATGTCTGCATGCGCCGCCTGCCTGATAGAAACTACTCAGGCTCATTTTGTTTTGCCCCGTTTCACTACATTCGCACTCCACTGCAGCCATGGCCGCTCCATCTACTGCAGATGCTACAATGGGAGATGCGACTACACCCGACAGGGCGTCTACACCGGAGGTGGCTGTCACTACGGACTCCAGTGACCATGGAACTCCACCACCTCAAACCTACAACGACTCCAACTACCACTTCAACCATCCTACACCTGGCAACACAGTCTACTACAACCCGACCACAGTGATGGACCAACTACACATCACTGAGCGCCAGACAACCACTACACCACCACTGCCCGACAACACACCCTACACACATTTTTTCACTGCACTCACACTCGAAGAGTATCAACTACTTTCACATCAACAAGGAACTCCACTTGCACAACTGGACTACACACAACCCATCTACTGCATCCCTGGAGACCTTCGGATGCCCCACTACAACTCCACCCTGCTCAGCGTTTCACTACCTGAAGCAGCCAACGTGCACTACTACCATACGACTTCCCTTCACACTACAACCGGCGACAACAACAACTACGTCATCATCCAAGTGCAGATTGAACAACAACTACTCCTGAGGTACCTCACGTCAGGACAATTTATCCACTTCACCAGAGACTACATGCTGTCGGTACAACAGAACTACTACCTCCCAACTACAACACTGCCACAGACCATCTACAAGGTGAACTACAACATGACCATCTTCACCGACAACTACAGCCTCAGGAACAACTATCTTTGGAACTACCACATGCCACTACTACTACCTGAACTACTCCACTACCTCTACAACAGAGACCAACTCCACGACTACCAACACAAGGCAATCACTACAATTCTCTGCAAGAGTATCCAGTACTACGGATTTACACTACTCACCATGACAAACCTCACACAACACACAAGGCACTACTACACCGCTACCTCAGGGACTACAACCAACACATGTCATGTCCCGAGATCGACGATGAGCGACTACGAGGAGCACCAAACCACATGACAACCTTTTTCACCACGAACTACTTTGCGACCTTGGACAGTCGACTACAGAAGGTCCAAGACTACCGCACCCAGAACTGGGGACTACATCTTTGAGCGCATGCTCTACTACAACAACAAGTGCCTGCCTCACTACTTCCGTCCAGCGCACTACATCGAGCTGGAACCTGAACAGCGAGAACTACTGAGTGCAGGTTACTACTTTTGTCACTACAGTAGAACTGATGAACAACAATGGTTTTCATCACTACTGCCAATCCATGTTTTTGCACTTCAGTTGAAAAGGTACTACAAAGACCTTTTAACTGAGGGGCCGTGTCAAACTACATGCTTCACTTCCTGCATTTGTGTTGCATGTGACTGCAGGCCTTGAGCTCGCTACATCGCATGTGTAAAAGGTGGATTGCTGCAGACTACAATCGGTTGACTCTGTGTTTGAACAATACAACACTTGCACTTGTAAGCAAAGTAACCACCGATTTTAACGAGAGCGAGAGAGAGAGAGGGAGAGGAGGAGACTACACAACAGAGAAAACTCAGAAGCATGCACAAGGTAGGGGAAGCAGGAAGAGTAAGAGGGAGAGGAACAAAGAGGAAGGTAAGACGTCGACGAAGAAGGAGGTCTAGAAGAAGACAATAGACAACGCGCATCGTGCAATTGAAACAAAGCATGAAAAGCAGAAGCTGCTGATAACAAAGGTGAACAGAACGCCATATAGTGCCTGGAGTCCATGCGAAACATTCAGGGCAGCAAGTGAAAGATGCCGGTACATTCGAAGGCGTCACATACACATACATAGGCAACAAAGACATGGTATTGAAGTTAGAGAGAACATTGGAACGCAACGAGGGCCAGAACATCCAAGCTTAGCAACACCAACATGCAAGTCACGCAGCTGCAAAGACCCATATGCATGAACATACAAGGAAGGACACAATGGGACATCTTGTCTCCACCAGCACATGACAAGGGCAGCACACGGGCACATGAGAGATCAGAATGCACTGAGGGATGTTTCTGGCGCAACCAATTTCGGGTGCATGGCGCAGCTTGAGAAACAGACACTCACAGAGGGACAGAGAGTGTCACTCGGCTGTTGTGCGCGTGCCAGGCCGTTCATCCAAAGGATTGGGACACGCTGCTCCTCATTCAAGAGTGCAGTCGTGACAAGGCCCGGATGTTTGTTGTGTGCAGAGTCTCAGCATCATGCCGCCGCCGCCGTGCGAAGGCAGTGCCATTCTGCAACATGCGGGACCCACTGGCGACCAGGGGATGAGTCTTATTTGCAGCCTGCGTGACTCAGGACGGGGGGCGTTTGAGCGAAAGCTCCGGGCCGCTGGGCGGAAAGACGGTTGAGACGGTCACATGAGCTCCCCGGAAAGTAGTGCTGGGACTGGAAGAACATATTTGTGCTTAACCATTCAAAGAAGATAGGAATGACAAGAATCCTACGAGGAACCTAGGTGCCACGCACTGGGAGTCTATTTTGAGAGCTCGAGCTGGAGCTAGCTTGTTCTGGACTGTTGCCACTTTCCAGCCGCGGCCAGAGTGTACCACACTTGTACCACACTTGTACTAAAAAGTTGCGATTTTCGAACTGAAGCTGCGGAGCCGTTCCTTGCTGACTGCCATGCGAGCCGTGTCAAGCTTTGCGTTGCGATCCGTGGCCAAAAAACCGTACCCGTTCGCACACACACACACACACACCTGCTGTATTCCAGCTGCAGTCTCTGCTGCTCCTTGGTGCTCAGGGGTCTTGCTGTGCTTTATGTTGCGCATCCCACAATCCATGCGGACTGAAGTACGGTGTTTTGGGGTAGGTGCACCACCTTTAGTCTATTTTAGTCGTTGGATTGGGATGTTCACTGGGGGCACGGGATTTGGATTTTGACCCATGCCCATGTTACGTTCGCTTTGAAATCCTTCTCCCGCTTTCTCTGCGCATGGCCCGTCGGCTTCAGCTGACGTTGCTTGGTGTCGGCTGAGGTTTTCGCTGGAGGTTGATGTTGTCGCTTCGTCTGCTCCTTTCCCAGGCCATCTGGTTGTGGCTCAAAACCTCAGGTGCAAATGGGGATGGTTGCCACTCCGCTGTTGTCTTTTAGAAGGTTTCTGGGTGTTTATCGGGGTACCAGGGTTTTGACCCATAGGCATCTCAATGAAATCGATGTATTCATCTGAGTCTTTGTTGTTCTGCGTAGTCTCCTGGCTCTGCGTGTTCACTGTTGGAATCAGTTCCTGTGCGCGTAGTTCCACAAGCACCTTCTTGTGAGCTGCTCCCGGATTTGCTTCTGGCTCGATGCAACTCCGCTTGCTTTGCCTGTGCGAGCATCTCAAGACTTGGCCGTGTCCGCCTTGTCTCTTGGTCTTACGGACACCGCTTTATGCACCTCGGTTGCATGCGCCTCCCAGTAAAGAGAACGAGACTGGCGTGGCAGGAGAGCCCTCTCCACTGCGCAGGTGAGAGAGCAGACGGAAAAGGGGGGAGACGATGAATCAAGAGCCATAGCTGTTGCACATGAAAACAGTGTGTGCCAGGTGGTTCGTCCTGGAGCTTGGGACACATTCGACTCCTTTTGAGAACGGAGTCGGCGTATTGGCCTGGCAGGTACGTCTGCACAATACCATTCTTCACCCCCTGGTGGCCATCGTTTATTGGCGACACGGCCACAACTCATCCGCTCTGTGTTTGTCTTTGACAAGTTTCTTTGTTTTTGCTTCTGGCAAGACCCCGCTGTGTTCCATCCTTCTGGTTCGTGACCGGAAGGGTGTCTGATTTTGAATTTATATGTTGGCCAGACTGAAGGGCCAATTGCTGAGGCTGCGAATCTCAAAGCTCCAGACTCGAGCAATGCCCTAAACCTCCATGGACTGTTTTAGGTGGATCTGCTGCCTGGTGTAACTGGGGTTCCCAAGCAAAGCCCAAAGAAACCTAACAGTCAATGGACTTTTGGCGCTGCTCGCTTGACTCTGGCACTCTGGCTGTGAGGAAAATGTGCAAGGTGCGCATCTCGAACCTGAGGCAA